TTTAGGTTGTTTCAAAGATGGTAACTTTTCCCAAAACTCAATCAACCTACATATATTAGGCCAGATTTCAATGCAACAATCTGCAACAGATTTACTTTCGACCCATCTTGTTCCGCAAAAAAAAAGAGGGTATTTTGTTGCACCTGTGACTGTTTCATAATCTTGACATCTAGCTGGGCTATCATAAAGAATTTGCCAACACCCTTTTAAAGTTTCTTTAATATTCTATGTTGTTGATTCGATAGCTGTTTTGAAAGCACCATGGATTACATGCAAAGAACAACTTCCAATATTTATAAGTTGTGGCATCTTGTTGTCCTTTTGTTGAAATTTCAGATTTGTAGAGGGTCCATCCATGGAAACTTGATACATTTTACTTGAATCAAAACTTGATAAGTTTTCGTTGAAATGTGTAAGAAGGTCAGAAGCTGCACAATGACCAAGAAATGCTGATGTCCAATATTTCACTTTAACTTTGTCATTGCCATCCCAATACCGAACAAGTAGATCCATCAGACAAGTTTAGGTTATGTCGTTTAAACTCTCATTGATAGATACAATGTAACAATCAGACTTTGTGATTTCTTCTTTTAAAAGTGTCTTGAAGTATGGGGCTAGTCCATGGTTAACAATGTATGATACTTTTGAGGTGCTCATAGTGAAATCTTCTGCTACCTTGCTATCAAGAAACATCTTTTTAAAAGTATCGTTTAAATTTGCCCATGAGTTATTAGAGTAGCAGCTCATTGTAGATTTCAGGGCCCATATGATCTCAGCATTAGTTGATAACGATGATTTAATTAAAGAGACAATAGTTGCTTGTTTTTTGGTGAAAAATGTAGATATTTTTTCTTCACTTCCAAGTGGTTCAGCATGCAACTCTTTTCCATTAATAAAGAAACAACTAACAGGCTTTGTAGCAGACTGATGCTTCTTACCTAAAACAAGATAAATAAACAATGAAACATTTAAAATGTCTATAATTTTTAATCTTTTTTCTCTATCTGTTTAGCTTGCAAAGTTTGAAATAACAATACAAGCAACCAACCAACAAGGAAAACAACTGAAACAGATTGCAATCAAAAGTTGATTACAATGTGTTTGAAACTGATATTAAAATATAAAATAATGAATCAATCAAGCAACATTTCTTTTTAATTCTCACTCTCACATTAAAAAAGTTAATGTAAATACCTGCTGCATGGCTTTTAACAGCCTGAATACCCATATTGGACAATTCAAATGATTTTTTACATTTTTTGCAATGAGCTTTAGTTTTTGCATGTGCGTTGGGAACTAACCTATCTTTATAAATATCTTGTTGTAACCAATCCTCTTGAAAATAAGTCTTTTCTGAAGTCATGTCTTATATTATTATATTTATTTATACATTTAGCTAAACATATAGTTACTATATAACATAAAAGTTAAAAAACCACTTTAGTGAGCAATTTTCAACAACAATAAACACTCAAAATGTGTATTTTGCAAAATAACTTCAAACTAAATATAAAACTGAAAAATATTCCCTGAGTTTTCCCTGATTTTACAAATTTTTAACAAATATTCCCTGGCTTTTCCAGGTATTCCCTGATTTTTAAAATTTTTTAAACTTTTCCCTGGTTTTTCAGGTTTTCCTTGAGTGCCATGAACCCTGTATTATTTTCATTCTCATTATAAAATGAATCATCTCTGTAACCTCGAAGAGGTACGTTTTGTTTTCCACACATAATAATTGCCAGAACTATTGGTTTTAATATTTCTCTATTTTTCTTGACTTGTTCATCAATTACTTTGTTGAGATTTAAGTCAATAAAATTTATCTTTTGCTCCATACATTGGCAAAAATGAGTTGCCTTTAGAGTTGCAGTTTGGTGAATTGGTGAACTTTCAGCATGTTTATTAAACTTGAATATGCCACAAATGGAGATTTATAAAGCTAAACAAGTTTACTTGCATTATGACTTGATTCTTCAGATTCAAAAATAACACAATTAACACAATAAACCCATTTTTTAATTTCTGAATATGCAAGCCAAGAGCATAATGAGAGCCAAGAGAATTGAAAGGAATGACCTGATTTATTGGATTCAAAATGAAAACTAGAGCTTGGTTTATAAACATTTTTTAGTAAATCATGCTTATCTTCATTGCCTAGTTTACTAATTCCATAAGTTTCATAGAACCCGATATCGTATTTGTTTACAAAGGATAGTTCACATTTATTTCCAAAAGCAGAAGAACTACTTTTAGAGTTTAAATTCGCCTTACTCGGTGAATGGATAAATTTTGAAGAACATTTTGCAATCAATTGTGTGGAAGAACTTTTTAATTTGATTAGCGAAGATACAACACAAATTTTTTTGTCTGTAGGAAAAGGTGACTTAATAGTAAATTGATCAATTGTGAGTTGTTGTTTTTTTTTAAAGTGGAAAGAATTTTAACTGGATCTAAAATATTTGTTTCCTCAATAGAATCAGAAAACAGGATACTAGATTTTGAAGAAGTAAGTTGAATAATTTCAGGTAATTTTACTACTTTAGGTGCAAAAATATTAGGAACTTGGTATTTTTTAGCAATACATTTTAAAGATATTAAAGGAACAAAGTGATCTTTGTTTACAAATATATTAGAGGTCTGTTTAAAATCTGCAATAACTGAAGAGCAACGAAGAATGGGCAAAATGAGCAAAATAATTTTTTACAGATGTGCTTAAAGAATGTTCAACATGTGGTCTAACAGTGCAATTGAAAAATATTTCATAAACAGTTTTTTCTATTTCTTTTCTATCCTTTTCTAAAGGGTAATATAATTCAATTGGTATTCCAACAACACTTGAGAGAGCACACAAAGTAAGAAATGAGGAATAAGAACAATTTGTTGCAATATTGATAAATTCTGATGTGACACTTAGTGTTCTATTATTTTTACAAAAGAAATTATATGCTTTTTAGGAAATAATAGTAGAAAAAGCTGTGCTTTCATCAATTCTTCGAGATTTGGTAACATAAAAATCTACATTTGTATATAATTCGATACCGGTCAGGCATCTAAAGTTTCTGACAAAGACTCGTTGCCAATTAATGATATAGAACAAGCATTAAATAAACAGTTTCTGTTTGGAGATGTTCTAATAAAAAAAAAATAATATAAGCAAAGCAACATAGTTTATGTTATGTCACAAAATAGTTATTACATAATTTTATATCATAAAATAACTTACTAGTAAATCATTTACTAAATGTAATTTTGGTGTTATTCAAACATAAAATAAATTATAACATAATTGATTATTTTCTCCTTTATATAAATATATTATATACTTTTTTGTAAACTTTTTTTTTAGTAAAATTGTGTTTAAACTTAAGTATATATACTTAAGCATGAACACAATTTTACTAAAAAAAAAGTTTTTTTAATTTAACAAAATTTTACACATCTTTCAGCTTAAATAAAAAAGTTTGTAGTAAAATGTTTAGGCACAAAAAGGTATAGTATAGCTTTTTGTATAGCCTATACTTGATTTCTTAATTTGCTTTTTTTTTTAAACTAATAATCAACACAACACACACATATATAAAAACTTCGTTTGTTTTTTTATTTTTAATTTAATATAATTATTTAAGAAACCAATTAATACCTCACTGGTTGAAAATCACTTTCTGCTCGAAATGATTGAGATACGGGAAACTGCATACTTGAAACTTTGCATATTTTATGCAATATACTTAGTTTAGATTTTTCATTAAAAATATTTCTCAAATCTTATTATGAGCTTCGACAATAATATTAAATAAAAACAATTCCTTTTCTGATTGAACCCTATTTTTATATAAAATACATTTTAAAATGATTTGAAGCTTTGAATCCGCCATGTTTTGAGCACTTAAACTACGAGTAAGGTGCTCAAAACATGGAGCCAAAAGCTTAGTGAAAAACCTTTTTTCTAATTTTTGTGTGGTTGGCTTGCACCCTTAAGAGATCTTTCTGATTGGGTCAGCACCCCTCGGAACCTGTTTTGATTAGCTTAAGAAACCAAGCCAATCAAAAATAGCTTCTGAGGGGTGCAGGCCAATCAAAAATAATTCTGAGGGGAGCAGGCGAATCAGAAAGCGACTGAGCAGGAGTTTCCTAATCGAAGCATAAATATAAACTACGCTTGCGCTGAACGCAAAGTACTACACAACATCAAAGATAATAGACGATATTCGAAATTTTTTAAATTCCGGAATAATAAGAAACTTGAATTTTTCGTGCGTATTTTAGACAAAAAAGTAGATATAGAATAAATAAAATAAACAAACAGCATAAGAAGTAACATTGGATTTGTTTATCTTAGTTTAATTATTTGCTTAATATGGCTACATCACTTTTCTTTCATTGGTTGTTCCAATCACTCAACCAAATTTAAAAAGTGGAAAAAAGCTATTTGTGAAATTCATAAATGTTCAAAAGAAGATCCTATTTGCTGCTGTTCTGAACCATTTAAACTTATTCCTTTTCCTTCTGAAGAAAAAGACCCAGAGCGTCGATCCATTTGAAAAAAATTTATAAATCGGGTAAATTCAGACAAATCTCAATAGGAAGCTTCTAATTACAGTAGAATTTGTTCGGAACATTTTATTTATGTAAAATTTGAATATCCTACAGAACTATTGGGATACATTAAATAAAATAATAATTTGTTCCTTCTGTTTCATCTAATTGTAATCGACCAATAAATAAACGAAATAACAACATAATTTCTGATTCATTTTCAATAAAAACAGCCACTATATCCACCTCTACTTGTAAAAATGCATATGTGATTACAGCAGTTAATAAAAACTCTACTTTTAAAAAACTCTACTTTTAAAACTAAAATCAAAACAAACATTAACTAAAATCTTTGGTAATGCATAATAAAGTTTTTCCTGTTTTTTCTTCAGAAATATTGACAGACGATCTTGATACTTCCCTGTGTTAAGTCCGACGGTGGGCCGAGCTCGGGCCGAGCTTGTTACATCGGTTGAACATCGGCTACTCTGTTTTTAGCAAAACAATATCGGTGAAACGTTTTGTGTCTGTTGGCCGATGAATGGTCAAACAGACATTCAGCCGACGTTCAGCCGATGTTCAGCCAATTTGGTTCTGTTTTTTATTTGAATGATAAAAAACCGAATATGTTGAATTTTAAAAGTGGCAGCAAATCTATCTAACTGAAGGCAAAATTTTTTAATGCATAGGAAAGTTAATTCGTTTACCTGTTAAATTAATATTATTTAATAATATTAATTGGTATTTATAAATAATAACATTACTTTTTATTTACAAATAGTTATTTGAATTTTATTTGAATAGTTATATAAATTTATAAATCATTAAAGTTTAAGATATAAAAATATTAGATAATAATATCAATATACTAGGTAAACAGTAATTTGTTTTGATAACAGTTAAAAAATACTTAAACTGTGAGCATACAGTTTGTGATTTATGTTTAATTAAAAAATTGTTCATTTTTAAGTTAAACATTAAATGATATTAATTAGTTCATTAACTCAAAACTTGTTAAATAAGTAAACAATTATGAGTCTTTAACGATTTTAAATTACCTCATTAAATTTTAAAGATTGAACATAAATTGTGAACATCATTCAGATAGAAATGTTAAAGATATAAAAGTTCAATTCAATACAAGGTAAGGTAGAAAGTTTTTTATATACTGGTAACATAAGTTTTAAGCAAAATAAGCTTAACTATTTGTTTATTATTTCACTTCAAATTTTTGCCTTGTTTATTTATATTGTATATTTTATATTTACAGTAATAATTTTTTTTATGATCACAATATTATTGTTATATATAATATACTATAAGCAATAATTAATGTGCAACTAAAATATAACTATATTTTAGTTACTAGTTATATAAACCAATTCAATATTTTAATGATGGCATCAAATCGTTCTGATAGGAGAAGAGCAAGTTATGAATTGTCAACTTTTTTTTCTTCAATACGTGGTAAATTTATATTAATAATATAAACTAGTATTTAAAAATTTGATTGCAATTGTTTATATAAAAATAAAACTTAGGCAAAATAAAATGAAACTATTTTTATTAAAAAAAAAATAATAATTGTGCAAACTTTGCAGATAAAATGTAATAATAATTGTTATTATATGTAATGTTATTATAAAATCTCTCTCTCTCTCCTCTCTCTCTCTCTCCCTCTCTCTCCCTCTCTCTCTCTCCCTCTCTCTCTCTCTCTCTTTCATATATATATATATATATATATATATATATATATATATATATATATATATATATATATATATATATATATATATATATATATATATATATATATATATATATATAAAATATACATTTATATTTAGAATCAAGATATGCATTATCAAAATCTACAGCCTCTGAAAATTATATATCAATAAAAATATGAATACAATATAGATAATATTAGCATAGCAACAGTATAACACCTCTATTATAAGAGTTTTTCTTCTGAGAGCACTGTGTTAAAAATAGATTCGTGCAAAAAAAAATTGTTACCATAACAGGTTATACTTTATCAATAAATAGAAAATTAACAGGAAATATTTTGATATATGATACTTATTCTGCTTAAAACTAACATCGCCAGTAAATAAAACTACTTCTACCTTACCTTGTGTTGGAATAAACATTTTATAAATTTAACAAGGAGACATACCTGAAAGAGTTCTTCTGTTAATAGTTAAACGCACTGCTTCATTGCTTGGCAATGAATCCAAAAATAGTAACACTAGAGAAATGAAAAAATAAAATAATATAATAAAAAAGGGATATATAAAAATATTTAAAAAAATATACATGTATAATTAAGGTTGCATTCCAAGTAAATCAAATATTAACTAAGAAAAACTAAACTACTAATGGACCTGAAAAAACCTTCATAGATTGTTGAAAGAATCAATTATATACATTATATTCAATTATATAATATATACACATATATATATATATATATATATATATATATATATATATATATATATATATATATATATAATATGGCCCAAGCTCCAGCGTGTTTTATATAACATGTTAATTTTTATAGGGGCTGTTGAATGCAAAGAAGTAAACAATGATTAAGATACAAATGATTTTGGCAGTGCACATCCTGATTCAAATTGCCCAAGTAACTTTTTATTGAATTAGAAATATAATACTTTTCATATTATAAATATAAATTAGTTATTTCGTTCTCTGAAATTAAAAGTGGAATTTGGAATCTACGTTGTGATTAATGTTATATTGCTATTATTGATATGTGAAAATTTAATTTATAGTTTTTTTTTTTAGATGCTACACACAGTGAATTATCGGTTAAAAAAAAAACTTTGGAATTTCACCCGATTCAATTTATTTGATGATTCAACTGATTCAGAATAATTTATTTAAAAGAAATATATAATTTTGTTTTATATATGTGTTTTACATATACTTTAGTTGCTTAATACTATTTTCCCTTTTTTCCGATTTGAATAAGTGTGTTAAGATTTGCATCGGCTAGCAGAGTTTTTGAACCCCTTTGTTTTTGTCCATACAGAATCGCATCGGGCTGAGATCGGCCAGCCGATGATTTGTTTGGAATCGCGTCGGCTTAACATCGGCCAGCCGATGCATTGCAATAGTTTGAGCGGCTAGCCGATGTCGGGCCGACCTCGGTCCGTATGGACAAAAACGCCGTCGGTCCGATATCGGCAGCCGAGCTCGGTCCGACATCGGCTTTAACACAGGGTTACATCTAAAAGTCAGTTTGTATCAAATACTGAAAAAAATATTCAATTAAATTCAATTATTTTGACTTAAATGGTCTTTTTAATTTTAACACTATGCTTTAATTATCAACTGTTATTCAGAAATTAAGAAGTTGAAAGCTGAAAATATTAAACTTCAAAACAAAATTATAATGCAACCAACTAAGCCTATATCTGTATATAAGAAACTTTTATCAAACAGTAATGTAAAGTTCTATACAAATCTTGGTTCTTTAGAGTTATTTAATAAATTGCATGACTTTATTAGCCCTTATGTTAAAAAACAATTTAATTCTGTTTCTGTTAAAAGAACTGTCAGTGAAAAAGTAGGACGTGCAAGAAAGTTTTGTTCATAAGATGAGTTTCTGCTGACTTTAATAAAACTTCGATTAGGATCATTTAACAAAGATCTTGCTAGTTGTTATTTTTAATATTTCTATTAGCACATGTTCCAAAATATTTCATTCTTGGATAAGAACATTAGCAGAAGTTTGCAAGCATCTAATATTTGTACCAGACCTTGACACGTTAAATGCAACAAGCCCTTTAAGATTTAAAAAATATAAAAATTTGGCAGCTAGTATTGACTAATCAGAAATTTTCATACAAACCCCAAGAAATTTGGAATTGTAAAGTGTTACTTAGTCTGAATATAAACACCACAATACTTTTAATTTTTTAATAGGTATTGCTCCTAATTCTTTTATTGTTTATATCAGAAGGTTATACCAGTCGCATTTCTGACAAAGCGTTAATTATGGATTGTGGTTTTCTTGATTTATTATCTCCTTTTTCTATATTTATGTTAGACAAAGGGTTTATTTGCATGATGAATGCACTGCTCAACATTTATTTTTTACTGTACCACCTGGTCAGCGAGGAACATCACAAATGACTCCTTTTGAAGTTAAGAAAACAAGTTCAATTGCTAAAAATTAGAATTCTTGTGGAACAAGTTATTGGAAGATTAAAAACATTTTGTCTTATAAGTAATGAATTATATAAAATATGTGTATATTATATATATATATATATATATATATATATATATATATATATATATATATATATATATATATATATATATATATATATATATATATATATATACATACTATATATATATATATATATATATATATATATATATATATATATATATATATATATATATATTTATATATATATATATATATATGTATATATATATATATATATATATATATATATATATATATATATATATATATATATATATATATATATATATATATATATATATATATATATAGTATGTATATATTTTGTGTGTGGATATGTGTGTGTGTGTATGTGTAAAAGAAAAATGCCGGATAACAAATTAAAAAAATTATTCAAACTTAGATGTGTAAAATATATTTGTTAGTTAAACTTAAACAAATTTAAGTTTGAATAGTTTTTTCATTTGTTACCTGAAATTTTTCCTTCTACACACATATACACGCACACAAACACACACACACAAATATATATATATATATATATATATATATATATATATATATATATATATATATATATATATATATATATATATATATATATATATATATATATATATATATATTTATTCTTGTTTTAAAAGCAAACTTTTAAAAATTGCAAAGTTGTTATTAGATATCTTAATAACTAATTTGTTTATCTTATCACTTATTTCCACTTCGCATTGTTTATATCTACTTTTTTTATGTAAAAACGCACCGAAAAATATTTCTCGCCTTTTAAAATTAATTTTGAATATCGTCTATTATTAATTTATTTTCGACACTCTTCACAAAAAATGAAATCGCAAATTTTGAGTTGAATAAACAATTCAATTTTTATTTATAAAAAAAATTCAACGAAATAGGAAACTTGACTTGTTGAATGTTGACGGGTGCTGGAGCACGCTTTGAACCCCTCTGGATCCGCCCCTGTATATATATGTATATATATATAGTTCTATTGTCACATCAAATGTTATATATAAAGACGCGCATCCTAGATTTAGTTTTATTGGTCGTTGAGGTGAGGATAACTGCATTGTAAGTAAAGTCGCTAAAGCAATAGGCGTGGCAGGCAGTTATAAGCATGGGTTGAGACCATACACAAAATATTTGGATCTGCTTAAAAAGATACTCATAAGGGGCAATTTTTTTATGTAGACTAGACCATTGCTTGTCTAAATTGAGACTTCAGTTGATGTTGATGCCAAGGTATTTATACCTTGGCATCAACATCATGAATTATTACAAATTCATGAGTTTTGCTTTTTAATGTTATGACTGGCTTTTCACCCCTGCCAATATAAATAACTTTGTATTTGGCAATGTTGAGAAACATTTTATTATCATTGCGCCATTGTTGTAGACTGTTACTTCTTGTGGAAGGAAAGAGTTATTACCAGTTATGTAAGCTACGATATCACCTGCATATTTCTTGTGTGTAATGCCTATCGGGAGGTAGTCATTTATGTCTAGTACATAGATTAAAAAGAGAATCGGGCCAAGGACGATTCCTTGTATCACTCCAGATAAAACATCTTTCCATTCGGTAGATTTGCTGTTGAATATGGCATGTTGTTTACGGTTTTAAAACCCCTTTGCAATCCAGGATGATAACTATGATGGGAGGTTAATGTCAAATTTGTGCATAAGTATAATTTGGTCAAAGAGGTCGAATGCTTTTAATAAATCAAAGAATATAGCAGTTAATAAAGTATTGCAGAAAATAGCGTACCCCCAGTCATCAATTACTAGTATAATGGTATCAATTTTATTTCTACCTGGAAGAAAAGCACATTAACTATTTGATAAAAATTTATCTTGAACATACGATATAATGTATTTTGCAAAGATGCGTTCAACTATTTTGCATGTTGCAGATGTCGTAGAGATCGGTCGGTAGTCAGATGGTAGAGAAGGATTATTGACTTTTGAAATTGTTATGATGTTTGCATAAAGCCATTCATATGGTACAATGCATTTGTTGATACAACGATTAAAAAATTTTAACAAGAGCTTCAACTAGTTCAAGACGTGCTGCATAGAGTAGTTTGCCAGATAAGCTGTCATAATCGGCGGGTGTCGATTTGATGCGTTTAAGTTATTCACTGATGTTAGAGGAGGTGAAAATAGGCAATTTTGGTGGAGAGACAATTGTTTTGAAATAAGGTGACAAACCTGGCTTAATAATTCCTCGCCAAACTATATCTGAAATTTGCACATTTAGTTTTGTACCAAATTCAGTATGTGTGGGTAAACAGCGTATTGGGATTGATAGCCTGCAGGCATGTGACCACATATTATTCTTACTATTGGCATATTTATGTTTCAGAGTCAAGATTTGCTAGGATACTATCATGACAAGTAGTTGTATGGCAAGGTTGGCTGATGACAGGCGTAGGAGATAGCTCCTGGATGGTATTTGTGTAGTTGGGATTGACTATTATCATAACATCACCTGCTCTTTTGGGTATTGCTTTTTTAGATAAAAAGTTGCGTTTACAGGACGTTATTTGATACTTGGTACATTCTTGGATATGACTAATTACAATGTTGCTAGTGGTAGAGGTTAGCCATGATTTGGTAAAAAATCCAATATAAGCGTGTCTTCATATGTTTGAACGAGGTAATCTACCTTAGAATCAATGGAACGTGTGTTGGTAGTGAGTAAATGTGGCCATTGCATTGTGATCATTAGGCTATTATTTGGTCTAAAGACGGTGGTTAGAGGAGTAATTGATGTTCCAAGGGATTTTTAGATCTTTTATTGAATTTGGAGAACTAGCTATTAGTTCATGATATGTAGGAGACAGATGAACAGTTGGAGTTTGTCTGATTAGTCTAAATGGTTTTGGTAGATTTGATACTTCTGTGATACTCTGATAGCATGTAGGATAGATCAGAGTTTGAGGCGTAGACGTATCTCTGTTCGACTCTGGAGAGAATAACCATATGACTTTGTGCGTTTGTGGATGATATTCCAAAACGGCTTATCTTGGATATCGGCTTCCTTTAATTGATCATTACGCTCTTTTAAGTTAGTCCTTAGATTTATAAACTCTGATTATTGAGCTGAAGTTCTATCTTCACGTGCAAAAACCCGTTTTTTTTTTGATAGTTTTGTTTTCCTGTCATCAATATTTGCTACAACAAGATTAATGAGACAGTGATGCGAATGTACAGTTTTTTGCGAGCTTGATTTAATAGCTACAGAATACAACTTAATTTTAACTGGTACAGCACTACATCCTTTTAACTTTTCTGCTTCTAAGGAATCTACTCTTGTAATAAGAGACGAAACCAACAATGTTATTTTTTTACACCAAGAATGTAATGCTCTAAATAATTTAAGTTAAAAATGTAATGCTCTAGTTAACACTGCGCCACGGAGCAGCCGTGACGCAGTGGTTAGAGTTCTGGTTCAGAAACCCATAGGTCCGAGGTTCAACGCCAGCTCCAGCCCAACAAGCGACATTGGTACGGAAGGAGGCGTAAACTTCCTATTAAATGCTCTCCCGTGGTGCTCTATGATAAGACCATGAGGACTTCTGGGAGCACCTAAATACAAACAAAAAAAAAACAAAAAAAAAAAAAAAATTTGCAATGATTTTTTAATCCAAGTTTTGGCCAGTTTTTCTCTTG